AGAATGTTTTTTTTTTCCTTTGGGTAGATGCCTAGTAGTGGGATTGTTGGATCAAATGGTATTTCTACTTTTAGCTCTTTGAGATATCTCCAAATTACTTTCCACAGAGGTTGTACTAATTTGCAGTCCCACCAGCAGTATAAGAGTGTTCCTATCTCTCCACATTCACGCCAGCATTTGTTGTTTTGGGACTTTTTGATAAAGGAATGGCCTGTAATTTTAAAAAACAAACCAACCCGACAGCACGAAAAGCAGAAATAACAAAATAAGAGATTACCTGTGATGACCCAATAGTCTCTGGTTGTTTCTGATATATCAAGGTTGGGATATTCCAGTGCTAAAACAAACAAGAAACACTCCAAATTACTTTTATAGGTTTTATTTGTAAATACTGTTAAGGGAAACAGACACAAGTGACAAAATGGTAAGCAGGTAAATCCTGCTCTATCATTCCCTGCGAATTCCAAGACATAAATGCCAAAACTATCTTGTTCAGAAAACTAAAAGACTCCGTAAAGGGCTAACTTTCCGATGAAGAGTTTTCTAGGGTGTGTGGGTTTCTGCTCTTTCACGATTTCCACTAAAACCTTCCTAAATAGAAAGGCTTCATTATCAAGACCCACGGCCAGAACCTGTCTTAGCTGTAGCTTTCTTTTTAAAAATTATCCAAACTTCCATTCACATTTTTCAGGAATGATTCTATCTTGGATGGATTTTTTCCAACGTCAAGGACTTAAGTTTAGTAGCCAAATGCTTGTAACAAAAGGTCCATATTTCTTTACAAGTATGGTGACTATGGGATTTAATACATGCAAAGGGCTCAGCACAGTGCCTGGCATATAGTTAGTGCTCAATAAATCTTACTTGCTGTTATGAGAATATCAAAATGATGAAAGAATATAAATTCTTCACATGCTGCCCTGGACATAATGCCATCTGTTATGACATCATTTTTTCCATAAAATCCAGGGTCGTCTTTATTACATGGAAATTTATAAAAGCTTGCCATTAAACATTCCAAAAAAAATTCTGAGTGGCTACTACGGGCTGAGTACATCCATATACGTTATCTTGTTTATTTACAGTATCAAAACAACTGTAGAAGGAAATTATGAGACAATTTTGCTAATATGTGTTTAAAAAAAACTTGCTCAGTGACTTTGGGAAATGTAAGAATGATTAAATTTAAGAGTACATACCTTTACTTCTTTTGGCTACCAAGTAAGTGTTTGGATACAAAATGTAGGCTGCATCATCTTCAAAGTCTATGCCTATTGCATGGTAATGAAGATTATGTAATAGAAGCATTAGAAGACAACGAGGCCACAAGACTATGGGGACCTCATCAGTGAAGTGACAACGTGGATTGCAAATGAGTTGCATTATGGTATCTGGGGGCAGGGCAGAAGCTGAAGGTCAGGAACATTTGCACAAATGGGAGGAAACCACCATGACCCAGATTCCTCTGAGGACAGACGCCCTAGACGGCAGTATTGTAAGCCCAGAAGGCAGACTGCTTGGGTTCAAACCCCAGGTTCTGTGTCTCACTAGAAATGTGAGAGTGGGTATTCTGTGAAACCCCTTGGAGTTTCAGTTTTCTCCTCTGCAAAATGGGGCTAATTCTGCACCTACTTTTCAGGGCAGGTGTGAGGATTAAATGAGATAAGAGACATGTGAAGGCTGAATGAAGGCACCTGGCAAGTGCTTTCTTTCAATGTGCAATAAGCTTTTCATCAATTCAACCCCAATCCATCCCATATTTCAGTTGTTGTTTTATGATAAAAGAGGTAGTATGTGGCCCAGCACCGTAGACGTTTCCTAAATGGAGAAAGGCCCCAGGGGAAACCACAGGGCCCTGCACAAGGTGGGCATACTCACGTTCAGCAATGGTGAGCGGCGGGTAGGTGAGGTAGAACCCCACCAGCTCAGCCGACAGCTGGCTGAGGAGGCTGCTGGCAACGGTGCCGTTGAGGAACGTGCTCTGATTGCCCACGACGTACACCAAGGTGACCGCCTGGGAGGCGTTGGACGTGCTCACAATCTGAATCGACACAGGAGGAAAGGGGAGGGAAACATGCCAAATAAGAGAGGGCCTGTTTCATGGAGGCCATGGGAGAAGGTTAAGCTGAAGTTGAGGGTAGGAATGAAAGGGAGGTGGGGAAACAGCAAGAAAGAGACAAAAATAACAACAGTCATCATTTTCTGATGGCTCGCTACGTGCCAGGTATTGTGCTACGGGCGCGTCATCTCATTTAATCCTTACCGCAACCCTAGAAGGTGTATCTAGTTAAGACCCCCTTTCACAGATGAGAAAACTGAGGCCCAGAATGATCAAGGGACTTGCCCAAGGCCAACCAGCTAATAAGTGACCGTCAGGATTTGAACCCAGGTAGTTTGACTTCAGGTTCTTAACCACTGATGCATGTAACTTTTCCTGGAGCTAAATTGTCTCAGGTTACTTTTATGGTTCTGAAAATATAAAATAGAGCATAGAAATGTTAAATTTAAGGAGAGCTCAACTGCTCCAACAGAGAAAGCCTGAGTCAAACTTTCAGGAATTTTAAAGTTGAAAAGACCAGAAATGTACAAGCTGATCACCAACCTAGTCACGGGTAGAGTAACTGAACCTTATCATAAAAGGAATTCAGAAATATAAAATATGTTCTTTAGAGAGCAATTACATTTCCTTGTGGTCTATTAATTTCAATATAGAACATGTAAAAAATCCTATGAGATGGCATGGTTTTCTTCTCACATTTTTTCTAAGTCAGTTTTTCGAGCTGCCGGAAAACGAGGTTTTTCTGGGTCAATGTATGGACAAAAATATCCCACAGATGAGATTTGAAAAACACAGGCAGTAGGAAGTCATTCAACGTGGTGAGACATTTTTTGTCAGGCTCTGTGTGGGGTGTCTTCCCTTTCCCCCTGAAAGCCGCTGGCCACCCACCCTCTCTGCTCTGTCCTGCACCCCCCGAGGCAGATGCTTGTAGACCATTTCAATGGGCTGCTCTGCCCTCTGGCTCCAGCTAACGGGTCTCTGGAGGATATAGGAGAGACAGAGGAGAGGGAGGTCAGAGTATGATCCTGGGACTCTCTTTGCAGGGGCAAGCTGGCTCCGGTCAGGCAGCTACACCTGCTCCACCCTCTCGCTCCATCAGGCCCCGACTGTTAGAGCCTTGAGTACTGCCCAGTTCCTGCAGTCACCCTAGCACCTGCCCACACTTCTACAAAGGGCGCCTTTTATTGAACTTTCCTCAAATTACTTTCATTTGAGAGTGCCCCTTCTTTCCTGCCAAGATGCTGACCAACTCCCAGTCACATCTTGCACAACCATCACCACCATCCGTCTCTAGAACTTTTTTATCATCCGAAACTGAAAGTCTGTGCCTCTTAAACGACTCCCAATTTCTCCCTCCTCACAGCCCTGGGCAATCACCATTCTACTTTCTAGATACCTCTTATCAGTGAAATCACTTATTAATTAAACAACTCTAGATACCTTTTATAAGAAAAATCACACAGTATTTATCCTTTTGTGACTTACTTCACTTAACAAAATATCTTCAAGGTTCATCTATGTTACAGCATGCATCAGAATTCCCTTACTTTTTAAAGGCTGAATAATATTCCATTGTGTGTTTATATAAATGTATATATACCATACACACACATAAAGACACACACACATACACACACTACGTTTGTTTATCCATTCATCTATTGATGGACACTTGGGGTGTTTCTAACTTTTGGCTACTGCGAATAATGCTGCTATGAGCATGGGTATACAAATACCTGTTCAAGTCCCTGCTTTCGATTCTTTTTGGTATATACCCAGAAATGAAATTGCTGGACCATATGGTAATTCTATGTTTAATTTTTTGAGAAACCACCATACTCTTTTCCAAATGGCTGCTCCAGTTGACATTGCCACTAGCAATGCACAAGGGTTCCAATTTCTCTACATCCTCACTAACATTTATTATTTTCTGTTTTTTGAGAATAGCCATCCTAATAAATGTGAAGTGGTATCTCATGGTTTTGATTTGCATTTCTTTAATGATTAGTCTTATAGAGCATCTTGTTATGTGCTTATTGGCCATCTGTATATCTTCATTAGAGAAATGTCTATTGAAGTTCTTTCTCCATTTCATAATGGGTTTCTTTTAAATTATTCAATTGTAGGAGTTCTTTATCTGCTCTGGATAGTAACTGTTTATCAGATATACGATTTCCCAATATTTTTCATCTATTCTGTGGGTTGCCTTTTCACTCTGTTGATAGTGTTCTTTGATGCATAAAAGTTTCTAATTTTGATAAAGTCTAATTTATCTATTTTTTCTTTTGTTGCCTATGCTTTTAGTGTCATATCCAACAAATCATTGCCAAATCTAGTGTCATAAAGTTTTTTCTCTCTGTTTTCTTTGAAGAGTCCTATAGTTTTACTTCTTACATTGGGTCTTTGATCCATTTTGAGTTAATTTGGTATATGATGTTAGGTAAGAGTCCAACTTCATCCTTTTGCATGTGGATGTCCAGTTTTCCCAATTTGTTGAAAAGACTGTCCTTTTCCCACTGGATAGCTTTGGCATCCTTGTCAAAAATTATTTGCCATATACAATAGGGTTTATTTCCAGGCTCTGTAATCTATTTCATTGGTCTATGTGTCTGTCTTTATGCCAACACTATATTGTTTTTATTACTGTAGCTTTGCAGTAAGATTTGAAATCAGGAGGCACAAAACCTCCAACTTTATTCTTCTTTCTCAAAATTGCTTTGACTATTGAAGGTCCTTTGACATTTCATATGAGTTTTACAATGTATTTTTCTATTTCTGCAAAAAAAGATCACTTGGATTTTGATAGGGATTATATTAAATCTGCAGATTCCTTTGAGTAGTATTGACACCTTAACAACATTAAGTCTCCTAATCCATGAACATAGGACGTTTTTCCATTTATTTGCATCTTCTTTAATAAATTCACTTTTTACAGCTAGGAAAAGTGTGGTCATTCTTGGTGGCTGCTTAACACTAGCTCCAAAAACAAGAGGTCCACAGGCCTGAGACCAAGGTCACAGCATTGGTCCCTGAAAGTCATGCTCTGTGCCCCAAGAGAAGCAGCCGCTACTGGCGACACTTTCCGATCACCCCTTTATCTTGACTCCTGTAGCTTCTGACCTCATCTGTGACTTCCCATTCTCTCATGCCATGATTCAGTTGGCTAATTAGATCTATAACGGATGGAGTAGAAAGCTGTTGTTTTGCCTACTCAACGTCCATTCTCCCTTCTATGACAGCATCACAGTTTCCCTGGGGAACCACCTCTCCTCTCCTCTCTGTCCATGTGCTTTGGATGGGGCCGCCCCACCCAAGTTTCAGGAGCGGTCATCAGAGCCAGGCCTACTTGATTGGGACATTTCATCTCTTTGGCCACAGTTAGTGATCTAGAAAGGGGCATAGTGGGTCCAATGAGAGCTAATCCCAAAATCTTTACTGGAATGACACTTCAGTTCCACAGACTGTGAGCAACAAGGATGAGCCATCCCCTGGGAGCTACAGATGGTGCCAGCCCAGAGCAAAGCAAGGCAAGAGACAAAGAGAACTTTATGAAAAAAGCATGTGAGCACCTGGAATCAACCGTGCCTGAAGTACATAAGCTGTGAAGTTTCCAATTCCATGAGCCAATCGCTTCCTCTTTTTGCCTTGTAAATTTATATTCTGTCACTTGCAACCAAAAAAAGTCCTAACTGAGTCAATTGTAATCTGGCCCCTAATACTAAAGCCATAGAAGTTAAAAAAAAAAAAAAAAGATGTTTTTTTCAATGACTCTCTGAATGAATGAGTGAATGAAAAATTTACATGGTCTTATTGCACAAAGGATTCAAAGTGCTTTACAAATCACATGTTATAAAATAAAATGAAAAAGTTATTTAAACTGGGTCTTGGAAAAACAGATGAAAGACAATCCAACAAGGAATGGTTAGCATGTAGTTATCTAAGTATGATATAGGAGCCCAGACGGTTACTAAATCCAGGCAACAAATGTGGCTCTGGGCTTCCTGTCCACCAAGGCAAAAAGCGAAATGGGTGCGGTTAATAAAATGATTCATCCAATTATCCATTCATTTCAAAAGCTGTTTAAATGTTTAAGACTACCTAAAATCCGTTTAGATGCAATTCTCAAATCACTTGTTACAGTCTTTTCCAAGGAAGGTTTGTTACTTGATTTATAAAGTTTCATCTAATGGTCCATAACTATCATACAACAACACAAGAGAGGCTTCTTAAGGCCAAGGGAAGCTTATTTATCTTGGTGTCCCTCCCAGTGCCTGATAAATAGCAGGCATTCAATAAGTCTATGCTTCCTGAATACAATTAAAGTATGCTGTGCTGCCAAGATCTAACTAGGCTCATGCACCTGTGAGGATCACAAGTCCAATCAGAAAGAAAATGATTTCCCACAAGAGAGCTGAGTCACACTCCTTACATAAATCTTAAGTCTGTGACACATTTTTAGATCTTAGTCTAATATGAACCAAATCATAATGAGATACTTCCATATACACTTTGGATAAATCTAGAAAAGGAAAGCTGCTCATTCAAATTAAATTGTATGCTTTCTACATCATATTGGCTTTGCTGATAATTCACTTATGCTAAATGTCAATTTCAAAACCACTGAGTCTAATTGCAAAGGCTTTAGTTCAGTCGTCAAAACAGAGCCACTGAATAGAAGAGTTAATTGGAGAAATTTGGGGGCTGGATGAATATCATTAAGAAGCATCTGTCCTTGGATAATATCTACATAATTGCAAGTGGGTCTGAGAAAGGCTCCTGGTAGTGTGTATACTGGTAATCCAGGAAGCTGAAAGATAGTGCACCAAGAGTAGGATTTCCCTAGGAATTAATTCTTATGTTTGCAAAAGTTTCATCAAGGACCCCATTTCTACATTGCGTTGATGCTAGCATAGCATAGTGGATAAGAGTATGGGCTTTGGGCTCAAGTCCTTTTTCCATTTTTTACTAACTGTGTGACCTTCTGGAAGTTTCTTAACCTCCCTCTCAGTTCCCTCTTCTGTGAAATGGAGGTAAGGATGCCTCAGATGAATGTCTTGAGTATTACATAGGAAAATATCTATAAAACACTTAGCACAGTTCCTGGCACATAGTAAGCCCTCGATATAAAATGTGTGTGCGTGAGTGTGTGCATATAAACTAAGGGGATTGGAATACAACCTGATGCAAATCACAGAACAGGCAAATCTTAGTGAGTTAGCTACTTAAAATAGAGTCATTTATTCATTTTATATTAGACATTTGACATACATAGTAGAGTCTAGGTCAATTTTTTAAAATAGTAAATTTCTTTCAAAGGACTGAGGAAGCACTAGCTGGGAAAATAAATATAAAACCCCAAACTACAGCAGGCGAACTGCAACACAGCATCCCTTCTGTCACAGCCAGACCCCAGACACCCTCACCAATGTCATGACTGTCTACATCACAAGCCTGAAGGTCAAAGTTACATTTACACAAAGCAGCTCTGAAATGGAGGACCCGAGGCATTTCTTGCCAACATTTGCACTGTGTTTGTCTGTCAACTGCACAGCCTGAAACACCCTCCTCCCTACCTGAATCGTCAAGTTGCTTTTGGTACTCAGGACCTTCCTCTCGGCATCCTGGAATGCTCTCTGCAGCCTCTGTTCCATCGTCTGAGCAAACTTGCAGGACTGTATGTTGTCTGATTGGCTCACAAACTGCAGCACTAGAATGAGAGTAATAAATCAGTGCTCACCAAAGCTCTATGTCTCAGTTCCTTGGATTTAATAGCGGTCATGATATAAAACAGCATGATTTTAGATTAGAGAAATTAAGCAAATAAATAATAAGCCTGGACAGGATTTGATTGCAGTTTTGAAAGTGGCTCTTAAAATGATTTATAGCATAGAAGAAGCATGATCGAACCCGAGCTTCCCTCCAATACAAAAGGTTTTATAATTTTATTTGATTGGAATATGTAGACATCTGCTCAAAGACTGACAAATCATAACCTGAAAGAGATTATGCCTTCTATTTCTTTGGAGGGGAAAAAAAAATCAATTGACCTCCATTACAAAGTTGATTGAGTGTTTCAATTTCAATAGTTTCTCCACTCTTGTGGTTTACAAACTTTGCAGATCAGAAATCACCAGGGAGCTTGGAAAAGGAAAAAAAAAAAGACAGATTCTGAGGCCTAAGCTCAGAGATTATAATTTAGTGGCATCTGGAACCCATTGCTCCAAGCCATAGATTTTTGTCGATGCTCAACTCTTATTAGTATCCACTGGTACTATGAAAAGAAATATAAAATACATTACTTGGTGCTCGTCAGTACTAAGTATATAAGTTAGGAAGAAAGACACTGTGATGGAACATTTCTAATAAATTCAGGGTTAGAAAAATTTAGGCTGATACACAGGAAACTCGGACATTTGATTAGCACGGCCCTTGGAAGAAGGTACACAAGCACTTTTAAAAAATGACAGAGCTGCTAGCAACGGAGTTTTTAAACAGGTGTCCACTTGGTACTGCCCCTGATCCAGAACGGATAGGAATCTTCTCCTTCTGAGTTACTTGCCTGTTTTCAGCTGGAAGTAGCCTGCAGGCTGGGGATTCCATGAGGAGGCAAGTACTGCCACAGACTGTAAGCTGGGGGTGTGCTGCTTCAGATCTGCAGTGACGTTGCTGACTCCATAAACACCCAGCATCTCCATCACTACAGCAGGCAAGTACACCAGCCTCCCTTTGGTAGCATAATAACCAACCGTGAGGTTATGAGAATGCTCTAGGATGTCCACCTACAAAACAAATGGACCCACAGAACTCACTGTTGATTTCCACAGTACTTTAAGTTCTTCTTCGTATTTCTTAGAACCACAACTGTTAGTAGCAAGACTGGAGAATAGGATGTTCTCAGTCAACAAATATTCTTAACAATCTTACAGAGCTGCTGTCCCCAACCCCGGCTGTGGCCCAGTGCCTATTAAACTGGGGCGTGCATCACTGCCTGAACTCCACCCCACCACACCCCCAAGTCGGTGGAAAAACTGTCTTCCGTGAAACTTAGGAGCCAGGCCATGCAGCAGGAGGTGAGCGGTGGGTGAGCGAGGGAAGCTTCGTCTGTATTTACAGCTGCTCCCCATCACTCGCATCACCACCTGAGCTCCGCCTCCCCCCTCCCTCCTGCCATGGAAAAATTGTCTTCCATGAAACTGGTCCCTGGTGCCAAAAAGGTTGGGGACTGCTGCATGGTAAAGCATATGTGGATTGAGAAATCTCAAAATATCACAATACAACAAAATATAATTTACATCAAGTCTACATGGGACAGAATTAAATCTTATTTTTAAATTCTTTAAGTGCCTCAGTATAATCCTGTGAACACCGATTATTACCAAAAAGGCAGAGGGGAGACAGCAGGCCAAAGAGATTTCTAGCTAATGGAACGCTAAGGGTAAGAGTTTTATTATATTTCTCATTTCTGAGAATTAAAAGGTGAGAATGACAGATTGAGTGGGGCACCTTTGGGGCACAGGCCAAGAGGTAAAAAAAAGTTAATTCCTCCTTTGAGAAGCAGAGAGAAGACTCGTTCGGACTTGACTTCATCCTGGGCTTGTAAACTCGTTCCAGACCAAGGCAGAGAGGAGCCACTGAGAGCTTCTCTCACAGCTGAGTCCTCAGGGACACTGATGATCTGAGCTCTTTCTGTCTTGATTGTAAGATTTTGAGGCTTTAGATTTTATTCTTATTTTTTTCTTTTTGCTTTCTTGGTGTTATATATTAACAGTTCAGGGTGTTTTGGGTTTTGTTTTTCATGTATTAAACGTAATGTTTACTACAGAATTACATCTGAAAAAAGAGAAAAGAGTAACACAAATATACATACACATGTGTGCATGCACTGTAGATATTGCTTTATAGCCTCCTTTTTTCCAATCTTTGTTACTTTTATTTTGAGAAAGTACAAATGTTTTTGTTATATAGATAACTTGTATAATGCTTAAGCCAGGGCTTTTGGTGTGCCTGTCACCAGAATAGTGTTCATTGTACCCCACGGGTAACTTTTTATTCCTCACCCCGCCTCCCACCTTCTTGGTTTCTCATGTATTTCACATTGCTTTGTGCCCATGTGTGCCCACCTACTAGCTCTCACTTATTAGTGAGAACCCATGGTGTTTAGTTTTCCATTGCTGAAATACTTCACTTAGGATGACGGTCTCCATTTCCATCCACATTGCTGCGAATGACATTACTTCACTGCTTTTTATGTCTGAGTAGTACTCCATGGTATATATATACCACATTTTCTTTATCCATTCATCAATTGATGGGCATTTAGGTTGATTCCACATCTTTGCAATTGTGAATTGTGCTGTGATAAACATTCGAGTGCAAGTGTCTTTTTGATAAAATGACTTCTTTTCCTTTGGGTAGCAGTGGGATTCCTGGATCTAAAGGAAGGTCTACATTTTTTTTTTTTGAGAAATCTCCACATTGTTTTCCAAAAAGGTTGTGCTAATTTGCAGTACCTTTCTCTCTGCATCCATGCCAGCATCTATTATTTTTTGACTTTTTAATACTGGCCATTTTGATAGGGGCAAGGTGGTATCTCCTTATAGCTTTAATTTGCATTTCCCTGATGATTAGTGATGTTGAGCATTTTTTCATATGTTAGTTAGCCATTTGCGTATCTTCTTT